TGATCTGATGCAATATTCCGGTATCTTGCGTTATTACTTTGCTTCAACGATCCCCTCCAGCTGGATCAAAAATAATTTCGTCTCCCTACGCCTAGATATTTTCTTTAAAAAGGAAAAACTTTCTGAGAATTTCTAAGTCTACTTTTGAAAGCAATTCGCTCCTATCTATTTTGAAAGCAATAATAAAAAATCTTTTATTTATTTTTTAATCTGAAGAAAAATATTATTATATTGCAGAAAAGTTAGCATAAAATATTAGGTATATGACAGATCTTCTGCTTACACAGAAAGTGATAAAAAATAATGCCTTGAATCAAAAATATAATTTCTATCTTAAAATGTGAAAGGAATGTATACAATTACGATTTGATTTTTGATCTCAGAAAAACTTATCAGAACTTATCATTTGATTTGAATTGAAATTGAATAACAAAATTTTATTTCAATTCTGATTTGAAATATTTATATTATGCGAATTTTAAAGAAAAACCAACATTAAATTGCTGATAAAAGCTTTTTCTCTTAAAAATTGTGCTGAAAACAACGCACGGAATCAAAAACCTAATTTTTGTCTGAAAATGTTTACGTGAATGTAAGCAATTATTTGATTTTTGATCTCAGAAGAACTTATTTTATTATTTGGTTACAACTGATATGAATAGCCAAATACAAAACAAAATATCTCTTAACCTAAGAAAAATAAGCTGTATGTAATTTAAAATGCGTACATAATATGTTATTTGAAATTGAAAGCACAGAAGTTTACGTGAGCAGAGATTAAACCATGAAGTCTCAAATGCTGTCTGCATTTTTTTGCGCTTGCGCTAAACACAGTAAAAAAATTTCTATCGCCTAAAACAAAAAATCCTTGAAGGATTTCATATAGAAAGCTATCATCCATGTTTTGAACTACTATCTTAAAATCAAGTGCATATATTACTGAGTTTGCGATCAATGCAGTTAAAAAAGTAAATTTTTAAAAATTGTCTTTGTGAAAAAAAACAAGCATAAGAAATGAAATTCTACTATATAAATGAAATACGAAATGAAATTCTACTATATAAGTGAAATAAGAAATGAAATTCTACTTTTTTTCTCTTAGTCTGTATTTCAAAACATGCGTGCTATGATCATAAACACTCATGAATAATTGTAGACAATTATTTTAAAAACAACATGAGTTATCGTGTTTAAGGTGGCGTAAAATGTAAAAAGAAAAAAAATCTAATTTTGCATAAAATCACTAGTCTATCCACCGTTATCACCTTGCACAAAAACTGCTACGACTTAGTACAAAATTGTAATACAGGCGAAAGTAAAGTATTTTTAGAAAGCTAAGAGTACAAGGATTTTAAATTTATAATAAACTCATTTTCAAAAATTTCGTCCAGAATCATATTTTTGTACCTGCCTGAAGAAAAAAAATTCATAACCCACAATTAAGACATATAGCCAATTGACAAAAAAACTAATATACTGATTTAAAATTTTCTGTGAATATTCCTCTCTAAATAATGTTGTCTGCTGTTTTTAAGACAACAATTCTTTTTCTTAGAGATTTTTAACAAATAGGTAAATAATTCAGTTCATACAGCTGCTGGATTGGGTCAACGTTTCAAAGCTTGTTGTCACAGGCGGATATCTCAAAATATTTATTTTTAGCCTACACAAAATTCTTCCCGTACTTCTCATTGACTTCATAGTAAATCATAGTGACGTAGAAAGTACGTCACGATGAGGTAAGAATAAAATTAATATTCTGTGTTCATTGATAAAACTTGTGTGCACAGCATAGGGGAAATTGTTTTTCGATTTTTTAATTTAAAAAAAAATCGAATTTTTTTTAAAGTTAAAATGCTGAAGTTTAAAATTTGTCAGCATCAAAAAATTAAATGAATGTTATCTTTTATATAATATGTACGAAATTAAAGATAAGGTAACAAATATTTGTCAAAAATTAGTGCAAATAATAATAATACTAGCAGATTTTTCAAACGTTTTTAACCGATGTTCCGATTTTATAAGTAATGAAATAAAGGGCAATAAAATGAAATAAAATGTAATACTAGAGCTAAACTAAATTCCGTTAAACTTTCTGATTTCTTAAAATTTTTTATTAATGTCATATTAACATCATCATATTACATAGAATTTTAAAAAGTGCAAACATGTTTAGTTTCTTATATTTTGCAAACACACCGATTTATCAAATGAAGATAACAAAATGATATTTTGTTCATAAATTCTTATCTATGAAGCCTGATGCTTTTTTGTTCATAAACAGCTTCGTCAGACAATAACAGGAATGGAAATGTTTTTTTATAACTTGCAACAGAAATTGAAAACATATTTGATTATTTGCGTCGATTTGAATTTAGAGTATGGACTAAATTTAGCAGCAAATATTCAGCATCTTGTCTTTTATGGAATTTTTTTAATGCAAAACATCTGCTTATCGTCCTAAGATTGTTTAAAAATAACAACGTTTAAAAATACTATTTGTATGTAACTCGATCATTAAATTGTTTATGAAATGAATGTATTTTCAAAAACAGCTCCAGTTAGTTTTTGTTTTCAATGAGAAAAAAGTACTCCTAAAAATTGTCAAAACTAAATGAATTAAAATTTATTTTCTTCAACTTTTATTATATGATTTTTTAGTACTATTAAACACATAACTCACTTCTCAAAGAATTCCCATTTTTCAAAGTTTTTGTAATATCCTGCAATTTAGTTACTCTTGATAGATAAAATTTTTTTTTGATATTCATTGCTTATTATTAAAGGATGTAAAAGTTATATCTGATAGCTAATCATGTTAATTAAATCTTTTAATTTGGGCATTTTTAGGGCGAAATTTTAAAAGGAAAATATTTTGCCCTTTTCTATATTTCTAACAGTACATTAAAAGTTTCATTTCAACCACTAATTTATGATATTCACTTTTAGAATGCAATTATACAAAAAAATTTTCACCATAAGTTAACTAAAAATATAAAGATTGTTGGAAATAAACTGTTCATTGTCTCAAAGAACTTTAATATCTGTAGGAAACAAACATCTAATTTTTCAAATTAATAAAAAATTAAGAAACAAAATAATAAATGTATTTAGTAAAATTTGAAGATAAAAAAAACAAATTCAAAGAAGTCTTTTGAATATTAGCCACATACGTAGAACATACAGAGACTTAATTATTAATTAATTATGAGTATTATTTCCAATTTTTTGTTATGATTATTTTTTTTTTAATTTAGAAAATCTTTTAAGTCCATTTAAAGAGATTAATCTTCTATTTTTTACTGATAATTTTTATCATTCATAATTAAAATCCTCGCTCATAATTTATATCACTGTACGACAGTGGTAACAGTATATTAATATATTAGGGACAAGTGTTTTCGAGCTGTTTTATATATAGGTTTTGAAGAAAAAAAAAGGAAAAAAAAAGGAAACATTTTTTTGGCGTTATTGACCAATTTTTCAACTTTTCAACTCAACCATATTAAAGATAACTTTATGTATTCATAATTATGAATATATAATCAATTATGTATTCATAATTATATAATTCAAATACATAATTATTATTCACTCGTAATAATTATGTATTCATAATTATGCGTATTTATTTTATATAGTATATTTATTGCTCGTATATTTATTTTATATAGATTATAATTCTATCTATATAAAGAATAAAAGTAAAATAGCAATAATATAATCTCAGTTTTTGTTCAGCTTGCTGTAAAATTTAAGTCAGAATATTAAAATAATGTTGTTGTTTTTCTTTTCAATTTAAGAAATATATATTATCAATTCCACTTTAGAGTTTAATCTTTTTTTCATTAATATAACGAAAAACACGCCTTGATTTTTGAAATTGAAATAGAGAGCTCTATATTGCTAGAAATTTCTCGGAAAAAATGGTTAGATAACAACTTATTTAAGTGTTATTTTACCATATTCAAACGAAGCAGTCAAATAACCACAAATAAGATGGTATTCAAACTGTCATCTGAGAGTTGTTGTTATAGTTCATTTACGTCGCACTAGAGCTGCACAATGGGATATTGGCGTCTGTCTGGGAAACATCCCTGAGGATGATCTGAAGACATTGATCCTCTGCAGAGGGGATAGCACCTCTGCTTCGGTAGCCCGACGACCTGCATGTGAAGTTGAGCACTTTACGGTAGAACAGTTTAACGAGGACCAATACCGCACACCCTCAGTCCCTACGCAGACTAATCCAAGTGGTCACCCACCGCACACTGACCGCAGCCAGAGATGCTTGACTTCGGTGATCTGCTGGGAACCGTGTCTTAACGATCAGTCCACAGCGAGACTGTCATCTGAGAGAAAAAAACGTTTATTAACTACATTCACCTAATACGATTAAATAACCAGAAATTTATCGCACCAACTAGATCTACCTTATGAAGCCACTTAAGTCCTTGCAGCTTGGTACATATTATAGCAGAGAGGGCTAATCTGACAGTCTTTTGAATGACAGAACGATGGTTCAAGTCCCAGCATTAATACCACAGTACCTGTACCTCCGTTCCCTTCAACAAATGCAGAGTTCCCAATATTCTACTTCACCCAATTTAGCCCTTGCACTCTTCAGCACCCATTTCTAAATGAAAAGCTTAGCATTATTGTCCAATTAAATTTCTATTTTATTGTTTTGAAACCATGCTAGTTGTAAATGGGTATATAAAAAAACTTATAGTCTTGTATTCATGGTTTTATATCCATACTAGTTGTAAAGGGTTTTAAAATCGTAAAGGTGTTTTATGTTTTTTACGGTAAACTTAACGGTTAATTGCAGGGAAAGATTGCTGCCGGTTATTTTACCATAATTTTAGAATAAAAATTCTAACAGTGTATTTGTAACTTCTATAAACATCATAAAAATATATATTATCTAGTCATAGTTGGATAATTGTACCTAATATATAAACAGCCTAAACCTGATTTGCTTTTTTATTTATTTTTAGTCGTAATTGCTCAAAACAGAGGGGTTTCCAGATATGTACCAGCTGGAACAGAAGAGTCTGAAGGTGAAACTGCTCCTCGAATACCTCCACGAAGATCATCTGGTAGACGTGCTAGACCCTCTTCAACAGCAGTGCCAAAAGTTCTCGACGAACCTGAGAACATTCATGTAAGACATAACATTTTAATAGTTTCCTAACAATATAGCATAATAAATGGTGTTATTTTGTCTTAAACTAAAAATAAGGTTTTATTAAAAGCAAAGGGACAACTTATAGAGTTAAATGTCTTTTCATAGGTACCATCACACAAACGTGACGAGCCTACAACTGCGAGACACATTTCAAACAGAAATAAGCAAGATCAACCTCCAATTCCAGTTGCTTCATCGGAAGATATACCAGCTCCTTTGGCACCTGCTTCCCCTGATGAGCCTTACAGTCCTGCTTCTCCCCAAGACAATAAGCAAGGCAGAAGACGTAGGCAAAAGAAACGAAGGAAACCTCAGGGTCCAATTTTAAAATCTGATGGAGAGATAGAAAAACCGGAGCAAGTTATCCCAGAGAGTAAAACAGTTCTTGAACACCTTGACACTGCTGAGAAAAAACCTGTGCTCGCAACTCCGGGCGCTCGAATCGTTGCAAGCGATAATCATTACGGATCTGAAGATATATCATTAGTAAATAGCCCTGTGGATTCTTTATTAAGTCACCCTGAAGTCTCACCTTACTTTCCACCTCAAGCAGGAACAAACAGGCTTCCTTTGCCCGAAGCAGATGATGCTGATAACTCCAGAAGCTACCCAGAACCTTCAGAACCTACTAGGCATTATTCCCCCGAACAAGAAACTCCAAAAAGAGGATCTTATGTTCCTGTTCTAGCTCCTAATCGAGCTTCAAATCAACAGTCTTCAGCTCGTTCATCAGCTAATGGATATAGACAAGAAAAGAGAAGAGAACAGACAATACCAAGCACTCGACAAAGTGCACAACGGACTACCAGCAACAGATCTCGAGGTCAAGCAGCATCTAATCCCGATGAATTTCTCAGAAATGCTGGTGTCAAACCCTCTGACAATATAATTGCTGGCAATGAACCAATAATACCAGGTCGTAGTCACGGTGAAGTTAGACTACCACCCTCAGGACAACCTCTAATTTCATCTGATTATGACAGAGTTTTAAATGATCGTTCATCTTACGACACGGATAAAATTATAGTTCCATATTCTTTGGATGAGAAGTCTGGAGAACATGATACCCCTGAAAATCCTACTTTTAGGGAACCCTATGATTCTGTTCCACCTGCAAATTTCGATGTCGATCAGAAATCCTCTGTAGAATATTCTGCCCCAACTGCATCTAACAGAGGACGAGAAGTTGCCCCTCTAACTTCAAGAAATGCTGTTTTACATTATTCACCAGAGGAGGAATCACAAAGATCTCCTCGTCCTGCCCCTGATCATAAAGTTCCAGAATATCAACCACCACTTCAAAGATCAAATACTAGATATAGACCAGAACAATCAGATTCATCAACAAGATCCAAACTGGCTCATGAAACTAATTCTCCAGAAGTCCAATCACGAAGCCGTGGTACCAGCCGATATCAGCCAGATTCAGAGCCCAATAGTTTTGATCAAGGATCAACTCGATCATCATCATCACACGATGCTTCAAGAACTCGATCTTCATCCAGATCGCAAGCTGAAAGAACTGAACCTGAAAGATCAAGAAGCCGAAATTCCTCCCCATCATCAGCAAGTTCTTCCCAAGCTTCGCCAAGAACACGTGGAACATCTCGTTACCAACCAGAAGAAACTACATTTGATGCATCTTATGAGGAAGATACTCCTTCTAGAACAAGAAGTTCGTCTCGCAGCACAAGCTCTAGTCAAACAGGTCCTGTTCAAAATTCTAGAACACATCAACCTGATCCCGAAGAAAATAATTATAGAAGGTCACCTATCAACCCAGAGGCCGATGTAGACGCTGAGTATAAATCAGCTGATAGAGTTTATCGACAACGGGTTCCCGCCTCATCTGATCCTGATGTTGATGTCCCCCAAAGACAAAGAATCAGAACCTCACACAGAACTCGCATTCCGGTCTCGGAAGAAGAAGATGAGATTGCTCCAACAAGACAAACACTCCGACCCCGACCTCAATTTGAGGAGAGAGAACCAGAACATCTGAGTTCAGACGAAGAAATCTTAGATGACAGGAACGCTTTTAGTTCGGAGTATCAAGAACCAAGCCATGGCCGACGAAGGACTCCCGTCACACGAGAACAACCAGAGTATCAATCACCTAGACAAAATGGCGCCCCTTCAAGAGAAGTCTCTGAATTTCAAGCCCCTAGACAGAGCGGTCCTCCTCCAAGAGATGCACCAGAATATCAAGCTCCTAGACAAAGAGCTCCTCCACCAAGGGAACAACCAGAATATCAAACACCAAGACAAAGAACTCCCCCACCAAAAGATGCACCAGAATATCAAGCTCCTAGACAACGAGCTCCACCACCAAGAGATGCACCAGAATATCAAGCACCAAGACAAAGAGCTCCTCCAGCTGCTAGACAAGAAATAGAACAAAGACCTCCTAGACAACAGCCACCTCCAAGATATCAGCCTGATTATCAAGAGCCACAAAGTCCACGTGTCGATCGAAATCAGGCTAATCGTCGACAACCATCCCCACAACAGCCTAGAGCACGCCCCCAAGAGTCTGCTACAAGTCCGAACCACGATGAGAGATCGTCAGGAAGAAGTAGATTTAAGTGTCCCGAACCTTATGGTTTCTTTGCCGATCACGTGCAATGTGATAAATATTATGAATGTCGAAATGGTACAGCAGTCGAAAACTTGTGTAATGATGGACTTGCCTTCAATGAAGCTAGTGCGCCAAAATATTTGCGGTGTGATTCGTTAAGAGATGTCGACTGCAATTCCAGACCTGAATTACGTAAGATTATTTTTAATAATTTTTCAAGTTTTTATGCGATATTTTTGTGATTAATCCTTGTAAATGCTTAAGTCAGAAACAAATGTTCTTTTTAAACTTTAACCAAAAACCATTGAAGTCAATAAAAGCAAAGGAGGGATTAAAAACCAATTTATTCAGTTCCCAGAATCTGTTAACCGCCTTCTCTTTGAGTGCAAAAGGTTTGAACCTCATGGATAAGCACTGCGCTCCTCAATCGGGGTATTCCCACTTTCCTCTCATCGTCTACTCAGCTGTGATCAACATGAAAATCTTTTAAAAAACTTAGTGTTTTTTTAAAATTTCAGCTAGACGATTCTAGTCACCAGCCTACAAATCCCTAATAAATACAGTAACAAATTTTTAATTTCATTGGTGTTGGCCTCTCTGATCGCGTAGGGAAAAGATTTCTTTTTGTTTAGAGTTTTCCTTTGATGAATGTGCGTCTCTCCAAAAGTGTTGGAACCACCAAAATGTTGATTTTGAATTCTCAGAAACTTTGCAATGAATTAGTCTTTAGCGACCATCTTGTATCCTCACTATCATCGATTCAACCTCTCCAAAAGCTCATTGGAACTACAAATTTTTTCACTTTTCCATCATCATCAACAACTCAACTCATCATCTTCTACCAAACTTCCCTTTACAGCATTTAGGATAAAAACGAAGAACAAAGACCCTCTTCTTCACTCAACCCAAGAACCCTCCCTCCCCCCCCCCAAAAAAAAAGTTCAGTTGAGGATAATGCTTAAAAGTTGATGTCACGGAATACTCTGCATGTATTGAAGTAGTTTGATATCCAAACACATACAACTAAAATTTTCCCCACTTATGCTGGAGAAATATTATTAGTCTCCTCAAAACGTGTTATTCAACGTGTCACTTTTTTTTCCAAAGTGCAAATAAATAGTTGACAGAACAATATATTTTTTTGCATCATATCACTTGAAACTATTTGGAACAGTCATGAAACCTTTCAAAAACGTCTATGAAAGTTTTTAATAGTGATTGAAGAAAAGCTGTAATTTCTACGTTTTGTTTTACTTCTAAAAATATGTCTGCGACTTTTTGAAAATTTTTTCACATTCTGAGTATTATACTTAATTTTTGTTCCGTTTCTGAGATTATTTATGGTGCGTGGGTAATCAAACTTACCCTAAAATTCATAACCTCAAATTCCAATTTTATTTATAATTTGTTTTTTATTTGAAAATTTTAGTGTAGAAAAACATATTTAATTTAACCTAATTTGAAGGATATTTGAGACATTTTTCAATTAATTTCGTAACTTTTTCTGTTATACTCAAAAAGCATATCCGATTAAAAGGGGGGGGGGGAAAGGGAAGAGAGGTAAAATTTTCTTATTCAGCATGTGTATAGTTCTGGCTTATCATTGTGTTATAGAAAATATGACAATGCAATGCATTTTCCTACATATTAAAATTATAAAGATTTTTCCTAATTATTGTACTCTAGTACTTTTAGCTATGTTATCAAATTGTTAATCATAAAAACAAATCTTTTCACCGTTGTTTTAAAAGCATTGTGAATTATATTTTTGCAATAAAATCTGTAATTTCTCAAACAACGATGAAAAGATTTGTTTTTATGATTAACAATTATATATATTAATAATAATAAACATTTTTCCTTTCCTGAGGCATGGTTAAATATTTGAAAATTCCTGTCAACCTTTTATTGTGAGAGATTAATTTATTCTTGAATTAAAAGTATAACAAAATTTGAAGCTATTAAAAAATATTAATACCATTAATAATATTAATCTTTCTCTAATGCAATGCATTCTAGCTACGCCTTTAGTTTCTTAAAAATAAAAATAGTAATAAATCATGATATTTACAATATTAATACAATATTGTTTCTATAAAAAGAATGAATGAATAATTGAATTACCAGTATTTAAATTTTGGAAGAAGAGAAAAAGACGTATTCTCGAAATTTAAAACTTGTCATATGTCATGTTCCATTCATAGTATTTTTTTCCTTATGCTACATTTAAAAGAAAGATGAAATTAGTTTTCTTAAAGGTATTAGTAACTATACTTTAAAACTTATAATTACAATTATTTTTTTTTCTTGATTTAAAATTAACATTTCGAAAGAAATGAAAATTTATAAATGTTTTTGAAATGTTCAAAAGAAAAACATAATTTTCTTTGTTATCAAATTTTTGTTTTTAGAGAAACCACGCCCGACGGAAAACTGTCCCCGAAGATATGGACTTTTTCCTCATGAAACAGACTGTACTAAATTCTGGAACTGTGTTGATGGTACTGCCACAGAAGTTCAGTGCCCACCAGGATTAACTTACAATGACGAACGAGCCACATGTGATTGGGCTGACCTTGTGAAAACATCCTGCAAAACTGAAGGTAAAAATTAAAATCTGAATTTTTTTCTGAATAATTTTACATCTGAAAATTTTACATTTTAGTTTTTTTAAATATAACTACAGAATGCTGTGCTCGCGAATCTCTGGAACTGTTTCGCAGATCCTTTTGGATTGGTGCGCGATTCGAGTAGTGCCGGATTAAGCGTATATGCGGGATCCTAAGACATTCAAATTTTTGGGGCCCTTAGATTAAAAATTTTTTCTCGTATATTTTTTATTTATTCAAATATGAAAGTATTTATATATCTTTTAATTTAAGAAAGCATATTTAAAATAAAAATAAATAATTACTAAAATAAGTAATAAATAAATATGATTAACATTATGTAAAAAAAAATTCGTATTTAATTAATATATATTTGAAATTGATTTTTTTAAAATCCTTGCTTTTCTCAATTTTTTTTTATTTATTTTCAAAAAATCCATTTTAAGGGGTCTCTAATCATTGGGGGTCCCAGGCCATGGCCTAGTCTGGCCTAGACGGGTAATCCAGCACAGGATTCGAGCTCGCTGTACTTCTTTATTAGTAATTATGTATTTATGTCTATCTTTATAAGCTAATGACATTTCATTCTAGTTTTATACATTACGGTTTATGTGTACAATGCTTTAAAAAAAATAGACTGAATAACTTTTGATTTAAAAATCGAAAACACGTGAGATTCGAGAGAAAAAAAACATTGTTATAAAGTAGATTAAAATATAGGTAGGACACAAGGATTTGAAAGAAAAAAATTGGATTGAATCAATTAGAAATGCATTTTTACGGATCGCTCTTCCTTGTTAGGTATTAAAGTGTCTTGAAAGCTAAAATCTAGTAGCTCTATGTTACCTTCATTAATTAATAAGCAAACTTTAAAAAAAATATACGTTTGCTTGTTTTTATGAAATGTTTGCTTTAAACCTTTCACTGCTGTCCAACTTAAAGCTCTGTCAATTCTGTGAGGGTGGAAAAATTTCATCGATTTTGTGACAACGTACGCATTAGTGTTTCATATAATACTATAGCGCCGAAATAATATTAGCTGTGATCACCAATTAATTCAAACATCTTCTTGATTTAATTAAGATAAGCATCTCGTATTATCTTTACACAAAAATGTATTTTACACAGAAAATAAATAAATAAATGAAACAAAATAAAATAAACGTTTTGGGATACCTTCTTGGCAGAAAAAGCATTTTTACATCATCATTGTTGCACAGATTGTGGCTACATAGTTCAGATTGTTTTTATCTTAACCTTTTGTCACAAGATTTTTATTAAGTATATTTTTCATAGTTCTTTTCTCATTTTGAAACAATTTAGGCCAAAATTAGCAAAAAATATTTCACTTATCATTATAGCAGTTTACGTCTATGAAATGTAACATGAAACATCCGTGAAATTTTCGGTAACTTATCGATGACTTTTTCTTTAGTGACTATAATACTGTTTTTTCAACAAAAAAAAATACCAAAATATATTTTTGTTCATAATTAGAGGGACAGAAAAAAAAAGATTTTAAAAAGTTAGAAAAGATGTACTCAAAAGTTACCATGATCTCATTTATTGTACAACAGATTTGCTAGGTTTCACATGCCCTGAGGGAACGGAATTCGATTTGCAAGACGGCGTCTTCACAAGATATCCTCATCCAGATAATTGCCAATTACATTTCACTTGCATCAAGGGAGAGGACGGATTAAGAAGACCAAGAATGCTCTCTTGCAATGAAGGACTAGTATATGACCCAGTTTCGTCGTTCTGTGCCAGACCTGAGAATGTACCTGGATGGTAAGCGGATCATAAACTCTAAATATTTTTACTTAAAGTGATTTAGTTTATGAAATAGCTCCTAGTATAGGGCCACGAATTAACTGTGTTTACGATTACATGTTTTGTCGTATAGACGTCTAGTCAGGTATTTTTTTCCAATGCCCACCCGGAGAATAACCATTCGTCATCTCCGGATCAAACTATTCAGGCATCTGAAGGGTAGATTTGTTGGTTACTCTTTTAGGGGCACCATATTAGGTGGGCCAACATTGCTCCCAAAGTAAGGACAGATGTAGTTTGTCTAAGCTAAGAGCTCCTCCCACCACAAAGTCTGAAGCCGTCTGGTGCTATGGAAACAAGAATGACGCATTTTAGGGAGGGTGACTTCACTCTCGGACTAACGCAAGATACAGAAGAAAGAGATTCATTTTCTCTCGCCGATCAGAGCCGTAACCACTCCAAAACAGTGACCCCGCAGCTCTGCTTGAAATATCATACCTCGTTACCATAGTCACCGCCACAAGCCCAGATGAATGTCTGGGGGAGTTCTTATTTTAGACAAACTATAGTACAGAGAATGAAAGAACATCCAATCCATGCCCGGGATTCGAACTCAGAACCTTTCTAATGCAAGATCAGCTCCCTGACCCCTACACAGGCTGGTCGGCCACGTCTAGTCAGTTACAAATAGAATTAAATAAGTAATTTGATATTTCCTCTCATTTTAAATTTGTAACGACATTTGCTAGCATGTAATTTATTACCTTTGGAAATCGTAAATTATTTTTAAAAAATTCATGTATAGTCCTCAAAATGAAAAAGAAAAGGAAACACCGTAATAACTTTTGGTCAAGTGATCGAATTGTCACATACAAAAATCAAATCTTAATATTTCAGGGGCCTAAGCTAAAATATGTTTTTAGAGCAAATGATATCGTAAGTTACGAAACAAGACACAGAATAAACATACCTCTTTTTCCAACACCTTAGATTCTCGATCCTCAAGATGTGGAATTAGGAAATAAAGCCCCAAGATTTGTTTATTTATTGGTACAATACTCATTTGCAGGCTTGTGTGTTCAATTAAGGCTTATAAACTTTTGTCAAATAGAAGGACATGTAGCACAATACAAAGAAGGACAGCACGAAGATGCATCCAGGGTAACAGCAGGACTCGCAATCGCTATCTCCACGCTTCGCAAAACGTTTGGCGGATGATACCGCTAGAACGGAGAAGTCCCGAGCCCTAAGAGAGTGGTTCGAAAGTTTTTGATCGAAAAAGGTGAAAAAGAAGTGGTTGAGGAAAGAATTTAAGAAAATGCTTTAATTGTGAAGCTGCCTTTGACCAATACAAATTAAACAAAAATCATAATTTTATAGGCTTATACCATATTTAGTGCAACTACTAAATTGCTAAGATTCTATTCTACATTTAATTGGTGAATGCTTACAAGAGTTTATCAAAGTATGTCCCCAAGAAATATGTGTACTAGAAGAGATAGAATTTTAAATGAATGCACTTTCAGAACACATGAAAAAAGATTAGTAGTGATTCGTAAGTAAGAAATGAAAAAACACAAAAAGTATCTACTGTGAGGACGAAATAAACTAAAAATGTTTTCACATATCATCACTATGGTAGAAAATATTTATCGTGATTTGAGAATGACACTAGGAATGCATCTTCGTTAATTCAAAAAAAAAAAAAAAAATCTTTTCAACGCATCATTGAAAGATAATTATTTTACCGAACTGAAAATCAAAATATATTATTATTAATAAACAAAAAATCTCAGATATCTTTTTATTGCTATCGGCAACTTAACCTCCAAAGTATTTATTTATTTATTCATTTATTTTGATAATAAATACGTTGCTTTTAAATTTTTTGAATCTATAAACTATTGCTGCTGAAAGCAAAGAAAAAAGAAAATGCAGCACAAAAATGTGTTATGTTTGGCACTGCCAAATTTTTCTTTTTGAATAATCCTGAATAATAATTTTGAATTGTCTTTTTTTTTTTCTAAATAACTTTTATTAAATCATAAGAATACTTTTTTAGTAATGTGAATAATCTCTTCTTCCTGAATAATCTTTTTTTAAATCATAACAATAATTTTTTTTAAAATTTGAATAATCTTTTCCTTCTTATTAACCTATTTTTAAATAAGAATGTTTTTTAAAAATTTTGAATTATCTTTTTTTTTTTGAATAAGTTTTTATAAATCATAAGAATCTTTTCTTTCTGAATAGCCTTTTTTAAAATCATGAGACTAATTTTTTAATGATCTATTTTTTTCTGAATAGTCTCTTTTAAAAATCATAAGAATAATTTTCAAAAAATTTTGAATCACCTTGTCTTTCTGATTAATCCTTTTTTAACCATACGAATATTTTTTTAATAATCTTGAATTATCTTTTCTTTTCCAAATACCTTTTCTAAATCAGATTCAAAGTTTAATTTCCTAATAGAAATAATTATTTTTGTAAATAGTGTAAAATATTTAAAATTACGAAACAGTAGCCTTAAGAAAAACAATTTATCCATTGCTTATCGATTTTCTCAATTTCATTTCCTTCGTTTTCTTCCTACACAGTGAGGACTTCTATGGAAGCCGTAGTCCACCCCCAAAGAGGAAACCCTCAAGAGAACCAGAACCAAGAGAACCGGAAGAAGTTGTGGAGGAAGATCCAAGACTGAGAAGAAGAAACCCAAATAGAAGAATTCGTAACTGACATCATTGATTCCTTATTTTTTTCTCTCATAAGAAGAAACGTACTGTTTTTGTGATATTTAAAAACTCCCACACGTTGGACTGCAACAGACTATCGGTTTCATGATTTGTGAGATTTGTTGTAAATTTCAGAATATTTTGTTGTTGGTGTGTCAATTTTTCTTTAATGTCTTTGTTGTATAATAGATATCATTGTTTTGTATTTATATAATTCAGATCTTAATAGATTGTAAGTATATAGTTCGATGTTCGCCTTAAATTTCAAAATTAGAATGTTTCTAAAAATGGAAATGATTTTTAAAAAAATATTTAAATTCAAATTACAATTTTTATACCTGGTGCCAAATAATGTTCTTCTTTTTCCTTACTGTTCTTTTTTCTGCCGGTCTCTTTTTTTAAAAAATTTCCTGTGAATTTCTTTTATTTCTTTTGATTTTCTTAATATTTTAATCTAAATTTTCTATAAAATGAATTTTATTTATGAAGATAAATTTGCTTAAGAATTGAATAATAATAAATAACAATACTTAGTTATTTTGCTTACTTCAAAATTTTGTTTGATCGAATCAGCATGGTTTGTGAAAAAGGAAGATGAAGAAAAATTTGCAAACTGAAGGAGGTATTTGCAACTTTTAAACATAAAAAAAAAATTTTACAACATATTTTAAAAAAATGTGATGTACTCAAATTTTTGAAAGAAACTCTCATTCTTTTTTTAAATGTATAAATCAATCAAACTATTAAGAATAATTCCGGATAAACCTTCACTCCGATTTATAATTAAAAAAAGTTTTGGAGGATTTCAAAAGCGATTTTTAAATCCTTGGACCTTGATTAACTCTATAATAGAAAACTCTATAATACATTAACTCGATAATACATTAACTCTATAATAGAAATATAATGAATAATCGTTTCCTTTTGAACAATTCAAAATTATACCCTGAAATATACATAATTTTAGGCAAAATATGAAACAAGAATAAAAAAAAAAATTTTTTTTCGATTTAAAATATGCAAATACCCACTTGAATTTAAAAGTTCGTAATGAAATTAATTTTTAACATTTGATTGTGCTACCCAATTAGCAAAGTTTGTTTACAGTATACAGTTCACTGTTACAAAGAACTAGTTTATTTTGTTGTCATCCAAATAAAAGTTTAAATACAAGTTTCAGTTGTAAATTTATTTAAAATGTTTTTCTAACATAATTTTTCATAAAAACTTCTTGTGAAAACGATATTTTAGAATATTAAGCGTAGATATATATTAACTGATAACCATGAAACATAAAGCTTTATTTAAAAATAATATATATAATAATAATATATATAATAATATATATAAAAATAATATAATATTTCAGTGATTTCATCAAATTTTAAGAGAAAGTCAGTTACATAAGAAAAAAAATAAAAATTTTAGTCGAAGATTATATAATAAGTCCGAAATAATAGCAACCTAAAAGTAGCCCTATAAAAAAGCTCTAATTTAAAAAACTGCTTAGACTATTATTAAAATATGTCGATAAAAAAAAATAATAATAAACCTACACACTTTATCTACTACCAGCTAAATCTTCGCACTGGTTTTTAAAAAAACGCACCAGTATATCTGTACTAAACAACAAAATCGAGCACACAATTTTCAGACAAATGCCAACACAAATAATTAAGTTACAATAATCCCAATGTTTTTCATTTATTCATTATTATTTATTACCCTTCTCAATTGCTTTACATTATTAGATTAAACAAAATGCAGTTTTGCTTAATCTAATAATGTTCATCTATCATAGTTCATCCCATCAAAATAAAGGCTAACACTATTCAGCATCAACTGGCATAATGCTGTTGTTCAAGCCGACTCGTGATATTTAAAATTTGTCACAGTCAAGATAGTATCTCCTGTACATATTTAATAAATCCATAAAAAAATTTACAGTATTGTTGAAGCTGTACTCGGCACCAAATTAACTCTAAGATGAGTTGTACTTATATAAGAGTATATTTGGTATCTATCAAAACTTCACCTATTGCCATAATGCCATTACCTAAATTGAGCATTGGTGTCACTAATAGTGTGTCGATTTTACCCCGCCTTTTTACGGCAACCCGTAACGAATAAGTACAGTTCCTACATTAATTTTTCTCTTTAGCTCATAGCATATTTTTATGCCATTTAGTATTTTTATCAAAATTATTAAAGCATCATTGACATCAATAATAGTTTCCGATTTTTAACGCTCTCTTTAACAAGTTGAGTAATATTTCTCCATTAATTTTGCCTTTTAGTACATAGCTCATTATTGTACTTTAATTTGTAATTTCCTAAAAATTTATTATCCTTGAAGTCAATAATAATATAAGTGTTTTTTTTATACGTATTGCTCAGCGAATGAATTCCATTATTCCAATAATCTTGTCCTTCAGCCCAAAACTTTTGTTTTTATTTCAATTACCTTAGATTTTAAATTATGAATTAAACTCGGAGTTCCCCCAAAAGACAAACCTTTAACAAGATAAACATACATATTTTATATGATCCATAAATTGTTCCTATTTAATAGTTGTAATTATGTGTGTTTTTAATGCAACTGTATCAGATATATTTCTCTCGCATTCTTTCTTAAGAGAGGAAGGGGGCAACGAGACAGATGTTTAGATTAAAATCTAACTCGTAAATTCAAAAAATAACCAAAGTTTATAAATTTTAACTAAAAGTTTTTTTTTTTTTTTTTTGATTCTTATCTTTCAATGCCCTTACATAACTACTTAACCAAATAAGGTAGAGGGGAAAGATGCCTATACGATCTATTTTTTTAAGTGTCGAATTTCTCAGTTCGTTACTTCCAAAAGTCCTTCATGAATTTTTATCACTAATAGAAGGATTTGTTCTGGAAAAAATTATTCCACTTATTTGATTAAGAAATCTTCAAGGACGTGTCAGCATCTTTGACTAGAAAAATGTCAAAACCTTCGCAACTTTTTAAACCTGTTTTTTGTTCTCTTGGAAATCGATCAACCTAGCCTCGTTTCACTATAAACAACCTATCATTACTGGTTCAGATTGGTTTAAAAGGGTATCGATTTCCATGATTTTTTTTTAATATTTTGTTTATGTGATAAGTTGAGAAGAAAGATCCGTTAACTTCCTGATTTATCTGCAAAAAAGCGGTTCGAACGGGATCTTAGAGTTGGTCAACAACTTGGTGGCTCCGGTCTAAGCCGGTTCTATATTTATGTTTATTTTTGTCTCGAAGATAACGGTTTTACGGTTACGTAAAATACTTGGTTTCAGTCATTGATAATGTTATTTAATCTAAAAATATTTTTTTTCTAAAAGTAATTGATTAAATATATCCTTCTAGAGTACCTTAGTGTCCAAATCACGTGATCTGAATAGGGGTGATAGGGCAAAGAATATCCTTTGCCCTCCGTTCGTTATGAGTGCATGCACATATAACGTAAAGAGAAGAAATTTCATGTCAAACACGTGTAATTTTTCCATAAAAAAAATAATAAATAAATAAAATTTCTTAAGTTATGGGAAAAAGTATAAATGATAATGATCCCCAGTAAGCGATTTCTGGAGAGATAAAAAAATAATATTTTTTTGAGACTACGAAACTTTAAAGAAATTAATTCTGAATAGATTTTTATTCAGCAGAAAGAATAATTTAAAATCTTTAGATATTTCTGCCGATTCTTAGTTTCTCGTGGAAATGTGGGAAGATCTATCATTTATACCTTTTGTAGCGAAACCTTTAATTGGAAGTTGTTTCTAAAAATTTGCAATTCTGTAAAAGTCAGGTGTTAATTTTCAAATGATTTAAGATTTACGTTATATTTTTAAGACTTATTTTAAATAAAACTTTTAAAAAATAGATGGGGTGTAGCAAACTTAAGACTAAAAAAATTAAATCTATTTTAACACTCTTTTACGCATATACACATCTTTGTTTTTAAACTTTTTTTAGTGGACATTATTGAAGCAAGTTTTGAATAAAAATAAAAATTATATTCAATTTTAAATGCTATTTTAGAGGGGGGAAAAGGCTTTTTGCTTAGGCAATTATTTGTCTCTCAGCAACAAAAAAAAAAAAAAAAAAAAAAAAAAAAAAAAAAAAAAAAAAAAAAAATCTGAAATTATTTTTTTTTTATTACTAGCCACCTGCAGAAACCATTTGGTTCGCCAACAGGAACTCACCGCTTCACGGTTCCGCATTGACGCTATTGCTTTCGGCAGCACTAACATTTTCTTTTGAGTTTGACACATTTATATGAAAAACAAATAGTAGGAGTTTTATTTTAAAAGTATTTAAATTTCTACATAAGTGCGTACCTGCCAACTTAAAATATTTACGATTTTTCCCAGTGGTAGTCAATTAAAAACTGAATTAAAGTCATAAGCAGAAATATAATTTTTAGATTGTAAAAAGTTAAATGCGATATCGTACCATTATTATACTTTTATATTTGTGATTCATTTATTTATAAGAAATGATGATCAATTTCACTTGAAATTATATTTACAAATCCAAAATAGAAACCACTTTATGTATGAAACTAAAATTTTATACCAAATGCGTTTTAGTTGGCAATTATGTAAGTGTTCTTCGCTTTAATATTATCATTAAACAAACACGGTTATCAGTAGTGGGAGACCTATTCTTAGCGACTCTCTCAAACTTATTTTCAGCCGAAAAGATCAAAATACTTTTCTAGTCAATCTGAATAAATGGTGCTGTACGTAATATCTGTTAAGAAGAACGAAAAATAATATCTCTGGATATCGTATCATATTTGCCTAAAATAGGCGAGCTCCCTTAGAAGGGGGGTAGGACTCAAAACTATCCATTTATGTGTTATTATTACTTCTTTATTCGGTGTCATATTATATTTTGATGAGTGCATCCGTCTCTATTGATACATTTATTCGAAAGTTTATTTTCATCAAAATCAATGCAGCTGCACAGCGTTCATCTGAAATTTTTTTTTCAAATTTTGCAGAATTTAATGGAAGAAGCTTTTGAATTAAGAATACATGTAGAATTAAATTCTTCAGGGAAAAAAAGCAAAATGAAATTTCTGAGTGACTAGAAATTATCGCACCTTACGAATAAAATAAAAATAAAATATTAAAAAATTCTTATACTGATGACTATTTCTATTACCTTGAATCGTACAAAACAATATGATTTAATGAAGCAAACGCACCCATATATTTCATTTTATTTCATAAAAGGCGCGGAACTAATTCTGAGTTTACGACTATCAGTGTTCTATTCCGTAATTTTGAGTCCAACCCAGAGGTCTTCTTGATGGAATTAACCCACATATGCATTACATGACGAATAGAAAACGAAAAAAATTCCTACAGTTAACCGGACTGCAAGAGGGTTCCAACTCATGATCCGTCTATCACTGAGGATGTTTTGCAGCAGCACTGTGGTCGGTGCGATCCAGGAACAGAATTCGTATCAACAAACCACCGTTGGGATTCGAACTCTATCCCCTGAGCTAGCCACAGCTCTCACTGATACATTTTATTTCATTTTTTAAAACTGGCGTTGAGCAGACGATCCGATTCTAAGTTTACGCTTATCAATGTTCAACTTCGTAGCTTTGTATTTTTGAACTCAACCCAGAAGACAAGAGAACCCATAAATCAAGCATTGGAGCAAACTTACCTTAGTGAAGGACTTTTTGCTGGAACTTACCCGCATTCGAGTAGCATGCAGAGGCAAACCACAAAAATTTCTAAGGGCAAGGAAAATCTATTTTACCAGTTTTCTCCCAAAAAGTTTTTAGAAGGCCGGCCCGCTGCCTGCCCTTTGATGAGGCCCTATTTGCATTTTTTTGTAGAAATAAGCCGTCATCCCTTAACATTTCCTTTTTATTCGTATTCTATTAAAAAAAAAGTAATTAACTGTTTAAAAAATAATTATACACTGTTAAAGTTATCTATGTTTATTGACCAAATTCTGATTACTATTACAAATATTTATTTTGTTACGATTATTCTCAACTAGTTACATTTCTGAAAGATTCTCTTTTTTCCGGGGTTATCATGTTAATAAATGTCAATATATATATTAATAAATTTTTTAAGTGATTTTAAATTTTTAAATACTTTTTAACTAAATAGCTCTTTTTTTTTCAAAAAAA